TTAGTTCATGAAATACCTTAATGTATCAAAGGCAGATACTGAGAAAATTGGTGGTAAAGGACATTATTCTAAATGTTATAGAACTTCATCACTATATTTATAAAGCTTATTTTTCATTTTTTTGTAAATTTATTTATTCATTTGAGAGAGAAAGCACGAGCAGTGGGGGAGAGGCAGAGAGGGAAGCAGGCTCCCCGCTGAGAAGGGAGTCCGATACGGGGCTCGAGCCCAGGACCCTGGGATCAAGACTTGAGCTGAAGGCAGATGCTCAACCATCTGAACTACCCCAGTGCCCCTTATTTATTTGAGAGAGAGCGAGCGAACATAGGGGGAGAGGGAGCGAATCCTCAAGCAGCCTCCCTGCTGAGCACGGAGCCGGACATGGGGCTTGATTCCAGGATCCTGAGATCATGACATGAGCTGAAATCGAGAGTCAGGCATTTAACTGATTGAGCCACCCCCAGGCACCCCTAAGCTTATTTTTCAAAATGCTTCACTTACTGTCTCATTTGAGTCTTCAAAACCTTGTGAGATGGGTAATAATTACCATCCTGATTACACATACAAAAACTGGTATAATCAAGCATCTGACAGGATTAGTCCGTTGCAGATTGTAGGCTATTTTTTTTTTTTTTTTAAAGTAGCCATTGTGGAGCCCAGCATAGGGCTTGAACTCAAAACTCTGAGGTCAAGACTTGAGCTGAGATGGAGTCAGGCACTCAACCAACTGAGCTATAGGCGCCCCTGATTGTAGGCTGGGTGTTCTAACCCTTATGCTCTACCCTAGATATTTTTAAAAGGTTAACGAACATTTTAAGTTGTCTAATCTTAAAGTGAGTATAGATTTTAGAGATTATGAAGCCCATTTTCGAGATGAAGAAACTAGTACTTGGGGGAACTAAATGATCTGCCTTAGCTCAGCTTACTCCTGATAGAACCATGAGCGGAACTTGGCTCCTGACTCCTCCGTAAAATGCTGATTTTTCAGTTACTTCAAAACTGTCAGTAGCAGTGTAAGGTAAGTTATATATTTTAAAAAAATAAAAATGGGAGAGGGGACCCAAACAAAACTTAATTATTTTTGTTCACTTATTTTTTTTCTGTTTTTTAAAGATTTCTTCAATCATTTCAAAGATGCCTAAAGCTGACTTCTATGTTCTGGAAAAAATCGGGCTTTCAATTCAGAACTCATCTCGGTTTCCTGTAGTGTTACATTTTCATATCATGGAAGCCATGCTGTATGCCTTATTAAACACAACCTTTGCCCAGGATGGCCAGCATCGGGTGCTGAGCATGAATCGAAATGGAGTGGGGAAGCACTTTGAACTGATGATTGGGGACACGCGGACTAGTGGAAAAGAACTGGTGAAGCAGTTCCTCTCAGAGTCTGTTCTGAAGGAAGAGCCTCGGGTAGTCTTCCCCACAGAGAAGATCGTCTATTACAGACAGATGTTTTCATCTACTGAACAACAGAGAGCAGAAGAGTTATATGATTCATTATTACAAGCTGTTGCCTTCTATGAATTAGCAGTTTTTGACACTGAACCTTAAAATGCTTAGGTTAATATAAAGAGCTCTAAGGTTATATTAATTTATATTTATTAGCCCTAAAGCTGTAAAGCCAACTGTTTTTAACATCCATGTTTATGGAGAAGAAAACATGTTTGTATTTAAAGTCAGACTTTCAGCTGTTGAATCGTTCACACAATAATAAGCGAAATCAATAAATATCTTAGGAGATTCTGTGCCGTTTGGGTTTGTTAAACAGTAAGATGCCCCCTAAACAGCCAAAACAAGAAAGTTATCTTCCCTGAAAAGCAAATTCCATCCTATACTAATGATTTGCACCCTTCTAATAGAGAGTAATGATTTTTCTGGGTGGTACTCATCATGGGAATAATGCTAAATATAATCAAAAACACAACTTATGAAACCCTCTTAATTCTGTAAGTAGCATGTGGTTTGATGTATTGCTCCCAAAAGGGGACTGTCATCAACTTAGTCTATCAGCCCAGAACAAAGAAGCTTTCATTTTTTTTTTCACTGTGAAATATTTTACTTGGACAGATCTTTTTTAAAAAAGATTTATTTGAGAGAGAGAGAATAAGTATGTGGGGGGGAGGGGCAGAGGGAGAGGGGAGAATCCCAAGCTGACTCCACCGTGAGTACAGAGCCTGATGCAGGGCTTCACCCCAGGACCCTGAGATCATGACCTGGGCCAAAACCAAGAGTCAGGCCCTTAACCGACTACACCACCCAGATGCCCCTAGACAGACCATCTTTTGAGAAAAGTGGCACATAATTTTTTCACCACATCTCACATTTTCCAGTATTACATTTGCATTAGTTCAGGCCCTCATCATATCTTACCAGTGCTGAACCCAAAACTTTGATGTCAAAGCATTACGTCTTTCCTTTAGAGTGAAATATGCTTGTTGGAAAAACATTCAAATACGTAAAATAAGTAGAAGTCCTCTCTTCCAGAACCTCCCAACTCCCTAGGGAATCTGGGATGCAGTCTAGACTTACTGCCATTCACTTGTAAATCTCTACATTTATATGTATGATTGTACACAAACATCTCCACCTTCCATATGTTGTAGGTATCCCAAACTATCCATCTCAAATAATCTTTCCTTCAAATCACCTCCTTTGTCATTGTTCTATACTTTGGTAAATAGCTTCACCAACCATCCAGTTGTTCATGCCAGATATGTGCATTATATCTCCCACATATTTCTGGAAATAGCTTTCAGTGAAAACGTGTTCATTTTAGACATTTATAGGATAAGATGCTAAGTACTGAGAAAGCCATCAGAATTTGCTTACTTTATCTCAAAAGTGAATCTAAATCTTACAGGAATTTATCACCTTTAAGAATTCATAATCTTGGGGTGCCTGGGTGGTGCACTCAGTTAAACATCTGACTCTTGGTTTCACAGCTCATGATCTTGTGATCTCAGGGTCGTGAGATTGAGCCACACTTTGGGCTCTGCACTCTGGCTCAGGGTGGAGTCTAGGTCCTTGAGATTCTCTCTTCCTCTCCCTGCCCTTCCCGCTTGTGCTCGCTCTCTCTCCAAAATAAATCTTTGGGGCACCTGGGTGGCTCAGTTGGTTAAGCGTCTGCCTTTGGCTCAAGTCATGATCCTGGGATGGAGTCCCACCTTGGGCTCCCTACTCAGCTGGGAGCCTGCTTCTCCCTCTCCCTCTGCTGATGCCCCTGCTCATGTTCTCTTTCTGTCAAATAAATCTTAAAAAAAAAAAAAAAAAAATTATTTCCCCCCCCCAGTAATGCTAAGCCTAAAAGAAAATCTTAAATATGTCTCTATTAGGGAAGAAAATATCCCCATTGTTTCTTGATTTTTGATGTTACTAAATAAAATCCTAAAGTTATTATTTTTTTATTTTAAAGATTTTATTTATTTGAGAGAGAGATACAGCGAGAGAGGGAACACAAGCAGGGGGAGCGGGAGAGGGAGAAGCAGGCCTCCGCTGAGCAGGGAGCCCGAAATGGGGCTCAATCCCAGGACCCTGGGATCATGACCTGAGCTGAAGGCAGACGCTTGACAACTGAGCCACCCAGGCGCCCCAATTCTAAAGTTATTTTACTTTATTACCAGAATTTTCTAATAGTAAGACCAAATTAACAGGTAAGTGCTCTACAAATAGTGAGCGCTAGGTATGCAATAGAAGAAAATCCATATACTTAAAAAAAAAAAAAACCCACAGAACTTCAGATCTATTCTTTTGTACAAGGATGAAACCTGTAAGATACAGCCTATATCCAAACCTATAAAATACCCATATTTACCCAGATGCTTACATCTGGACCACCTATTTTAAACATTGCATTAAGTCTTTTAGCTTTAACCTTTAATTAAGTCAATATACTATCAACGAAAAAGCAGACTGAACAAATAAGAGGTAAAAACATATCTTCATACACATTTGTAAAGAGGTATACATCAATATTTTCCATCTCTACAAAATTAGGATCCTTACCTTTGAGGTAAATATATAATTCACCAGATAATGTAACTGAATTCTAGGCTAATACATAATATAAACACTTGAAATAGGAAACTATTTTCAGATATACCTGATTATATGATTGCAAAAATGATTTTAAGTGAAATGTGGGATTTTAAAATCTTGTATTTAAAAATACATACTTTCTCCAAAAACACAACCTTAAGTGGAAATGACTATGATGTAGAAAGTCCATAGTAGAATCCTCTGTTACAATTTTAATGAATAGCAGTTTGTCCAAAATAGATATATTAATATCATTAATATCTTTATGGAATAAAACATCGCTGATATAAAAATACAAGAAAAATGTACAAGGCAAATGATGTGAGTTGGCAAAATATACAAGCAATCACATATGAATGGTTGCTAAAAAAGATTTATGAAAAAGACAATTCATAATTTTGTTTTCACTTTGTCAACATTTCAGTGATTCAATGGCAATATACGCTGGAAGAATACACTAAAAATAAATTTATCGGGAAGATGGTACTTTTTGTAAAATGAAATATAATTTCTTCCCTAGGAAGTTCTCATGTATTACATAATTTTGTATTGTGTTAACTAGATTACCACCTAGATGATTCATACATACAACTTGACAGAGTACTGATGGTTGGGTTGGAGAGAGGTGGATTAAAGGTAACAGGAAAGAGAAAAATTATGGATTAATTTAACAGTGAAACGTCTTTAGAAATATAGTGAATTCTACCTTCTAGAAACAGCTTGCTCACGTGCAATAATACAACAAAGCTAAGTCAAATAATACAAAAAAAATTCAGAAAAAAAAACATCATAAATACAATAACTCAATTTTTTTCATTTTAAATATTTGCACACTAATTAAAAAAATACAAATAGTCTCTTTTAAATGTACATTAAGAGAAAGAAATTCTTCCATGAAAATCAGTATAAAAATGTATCTTGAGGAACACATAATAATCTGTACAAGGCATTGTTAATGTGGAATATTAAGGGAAGCCAGCTGCCAAAGTGTTCACAGTCTCTTTCGAAATGTTAAGATGAATACCTTCAAGATAGTGTAGGAACCTGTCAAAATTACAAGGAAAAATTCAGTTTAACCATCAGATGAGGATATTTATTAATCTTGAAATAGCTATCTACAATGTTATAGAGCCTTTACCTTCTTTTACTTTTTCCTTGTTCTTTTAGCTTCTCAGTCCTACAAATGTTCCGAAGAGTTGGCAAGTACTCAATTATACTAGCTTGTTTGTTCCCCAGGTTCAGAAGGGCTCGGCTAGAAAATACACTTTTAATGACTGCTATCCTCTTCCAGGCACTGCTGTAAATGAAAAGTAATGCATTACTTTTGATTTTTACTGCCCAAGAAAAATGCAACAATCCCCAACACAACCAGCTTCTGGTTTCTGCTGCTCCTTGCTTCTGGTCTAGACTAGATTAACTGGATTCCACGTTGACTTCCTGTATTACTTTCAACACATCACTCCCATCCTGAAAAAATCTTTAATGGCTACCCGCTATCTGCCCCAGCAAACCCAAACCCCATTCCCTGTCATTCAAGTCTCCTAATCTCTCATTTTTCTTCCCAGCAATCAGGCTGGTCTCCCTGTCTTATTAGAAGCTACATTATTGAGGGTTTACCATGATCAATAAAGCCCAGCATTTCAAATTTAGTAAAAAGAAACTCATCATTTCCTCTTTATCATTTATTACTGAAAAATCAAAAGTAAAAGGAAGACTTACTCTAAATTAGTTGCTGACTGACTAAAGTATACATTGCTGCGCTTCTGTGAAACATAAAGAGTAAGCTCTTTCGTTGGATCTCTTCCCGATTTCTTGCAAGAATTCAAGGTTTCCAGTGCCTTTGAAATAGTAGATGAACATTTAGTAAAGCTGAGAGCTTCTACAGCTGCCTTTAATTCTCCAGAGCTCTGGGAAGTCCATCCATCACTGGCCTCCAGACTAAACTCATCACAAAGTCCGCTTTTCACATTTGTCCAACTGAAGTCATTTTGACCAAATTCCTTTTGTTCTACATCAGTTAAAAGAGCATCTAAGAAGGACATGTTATCCATGAACTCAGTGAGAGAATTTAAACAGTGAGAAACAAGGGCAGAACATTTCTTTTCTGCTGGTGTTTTAGGAGGACAAGGAGTAGATTCCATGTTAGACTCTAAACATTTGTTCAGTTTCTTTGTCTCTGGATTCCTTTCTTTGTCTCTGGCTTTGCTTTCTTCTGAATTTGAGGAGGAAGACGCAGGGGAAAGGCTAAGAAATTCATTAGAGAAGTCCAATTCAGTGTCAAATAAGTCACTATCATCTAGAGTTACCATCTTTTTCTTTTGTTTCTTTTTTTGTGGCTTTTTCAATGGCTTCTCTCCTTCAGAATGTTTCCTAGCAAGACATTTCATATTTTTTGTTGCTGCCCTGGTGTCCACACTTACTGATGCACCACAAAAGTTTTCTGTTTCTGGAATGATCCTTACAGGTAGTGGTAGAATGAACTCAAGATTACTATATAAGAAATCTACATTCTGCATTCGGAATTCTGTAAGAAGCTGGATGAACTGATGCCATTCTTCCTTTGTTCTGACTTTGTGCTGAAAAACAATTTTGAGTGAAGTGTTAGAACACAGTCTGAACACTTTTCTACCTATATGAATACAGTGGCATCCTTAGTCTATCTGAAAAGTAATGAGTCACTACCCTCTCATAATTTTATTAACCTGTACTCCCTAAATTCATCAAAATGGTTCTGAGTCTGAAAAATAAACTTAGACTATTAATATTTGAAGAATTAAATTTTCTAATAGTTTATACCCCAATTCGATAGTGAGAAGCTCATTTGTTTAAAAACTACTTTTCTGAAATTGTCTTTTTGATCTGAAATCTTTCTAAATTCTAGTCTAAATCCTGTAATATACGTTTATTTGTCTGCACCATTTGTCAAAGTAGTACAGTATGCTAAAATCAGAAATCTAAAGCCTATAAAAATTACAGGCAAATTTAAGTTAACCTTAAGATTCAAAAGATGGGAGTGTTAGGAATATGAAAAGGAATATGTATTTGATATCCCACACTAGATACTGAAAATACCTTTAGAAATGAAAATAAATCTTCAGATGGGGAAAAAATGTTTTTAAGGCCAAACAAGGTCTCAACACAGCCAATGTCACATTTGGGAAGGTCTATAGGACTCCTTTTAGTATTTTTAGGTTTATTTTTGGAATCAGGGCCATCTTCAGAGCAAACAAGTTGAATGTTTCTGCTATTTCCTCCTACAAAATTAATAAAAGAAAATCTTAGTCATCTATATTTTTAATAAACTGTAGCAAACAATTATTTAAAATCTAAGATCCTTTGGCATCTTTTGGACCTATACTCCCATTTTGTTCTTCTCCACATATGTATTTAACTCATAAAAATTACAATACACACATTATTTTTAGCATACGGGGGGTAAGAGGGTTGGTGGTGGGCTTATAAAACAATCCAAAAGAAAAAAGTACAAAGGACTATGAACAGACAGTCACAGAAGAAAAACAAATATCTAATAAACTCATAAAAAGATGTGCAATTTCACTAGTGATCATGGAAATGAAAATTAAAATAAGATACCATTCGCTTTTCACCTTTTAAATTGGCAAAAGTAAAACAACTGGTAACCTAGTTTTCTCAGAGGCATACATTTAAAAAGCCATCATAAACTATTCATGGGAACATAAATCAGAACAATCATCTTTGGGAAAGCAACCTGACAATACCTATCGGAATGTAAAATGTATTCTCTAGCCTTTGGCCAGCAACAATACTTCTAGAATTCTCTCCAACAGCAGTACTCACAGATATGCTCAATGATATGTGTATAGATATTGAATGCATAGTTTAAAGACAAAATGAAGAAAACCTCAATTTCCTCTACTAAGTAATGGTTAATTATGTTACATTCATTCCCTATTATGGAATAGCATGCAGTTGTGAAAAATAGAGGGCTAGAATTGCACGTACTAACAATACATTCTCAAGTAAAAAAGAGCAAATTGATTAACAATATATATAGTATTGGTTAATTTTGCTAAATAAGTAGGTAGCAGTATTTGTATATGCATAGATAAAGCTCTCACAGTGGCTAACTTTAAGAAGTGGTGAAAATCTTTTACTTTTTATTTTATATACTTCTGCACTGTTTGAATTTCCAATGAGTACGTATCTGTGTTTTTTAAGAAAGAAAGAAAATGCATATAAAATCTTCAAGAAAAGAAATAATGCTATATTTATTATCTTTTAAAGTTTCTGGTGTAGCATTTTATATCCAATAGTATGGCAATAGTTACGAATTTGTTTTTTATAAAAGGGTATTTTCCACGTCTTATTTTTCATATTTACTTCTAAGAAACAGTTAAAGATATAAGCTCACAATGAATTAAATATATATGTTTGCTGCTTTGAAAAAGAAAAATATATTAAAATTTTGAATGATCAAAGAAAAAACAAACTTGACGGGATTAATATTGCAGAACTTCACCTTGGTTTTATTTAAATATTTGTGTATTTCCCAGAGCAGGATCTGTAACTACAGAACTGTGACTATGGAGCATGAAAACCACAAACTATGAACTTCTTCAGGGAAGGAACCATGTCTTATTCATGTAAACACAGGACCTGGCATGGAGAAAGTCCTCAATAAATGTCTGTGACTTCAATTAGGTAACAATGACTGAAGATCAATAAGAAATAAAACATTTCTGAAATGATAAAGCTCTTATGAAAAATAGAATTATAGACTATTGAAGAAGCTAAAAGAGAACTTACAGTCATATAAAAATAATTTATATATATATGGAAAAATCACCAGTGTTTTTTAATAGGTAAAAAAAGGAAGCTGGTTGCTAAATAATATCATTCTATTTGTTTATAAGAAACTATGATTACAGGACGACTGTGTGGCTCAGTCAGTTAAGCATCCGACTCTTGATGCTTAGAGTCGAGCCCCGTGTCGGGCTCCAGGCTCAGCACAGAGTCTGCTTGAGATTCTCTCTCCCTCTCCCTCTGCCCCTCCCACTTGTGCACATGCTCATTCTCTGTCTAAAATAAATAAAATCTTAAAAAATAAAAAAGAAACTATGCTAATAAATTTATAAGTAACAATTTGTACCATGTGCAGTTTAACTCTATTTACCCACATTTAATGTTTATAAAATTTTCACCAACACAGTTGACATATGTATGTTTATACATATGTTTATGCTCAAAATTTTTAAAATCTTTCATTTTGGTATAGCATGTACTTTAACATAGGGTCCCACTGTAGAAATTTCTTTTATAACAGATCAACTTACGACAAAGGGATAATGGCCTTTCTTCTAAAAATCCACCTCCACTTCTAATCCAGAATTGTAAGTAAAGGATACTTTTTCTGATATCACAAGTATTTGCAGTTAACAATGTTACAAAGTCTTTCACATCAGTTCTAAAGTTCTCAGCCAAGCAGATCATCTGTAGGTAGCTGGCAACATTTAGCTGAGAAAAAGAGAAAGAGAGAAAGAAAAAAGAAACATGGTGAATTGCAGAGTTAACAGAAATACATCAGTAGTACACATCTAAAAGTAGGACAAATTTCACTAAAATTCACACTATCTTAGCTCTTGAGAATGAAACTGATCTAGAAAAATATAATAAAGGAATATACTTCCAAATTAAAAATATTTCACATATACTTATTTTAGTAACTGTACACAATCTAAAACAGCAATGAAACTTTTATGGGAGATTTTCCATGAACCCTGAAGGCAATTTTATTAAACCTTGAGAAATTACCTTAAGATTAAATAATGGTATAACTTGATGGGATATTTTACAGCCATTAAAACTATAAATATGAATACTATAATAGATTGATTTCTGACAGGACAGGATGCAGCAGTGGTGGCTAAAACTCAGACAGAAACTCATAGTGTTACTGGCTTGAACCAGAGGACAGAGTTTGGGATGCTGGCAATAGCTGGAAAGTGAGAGGGGATGTCTATGAAAGTAGGGAAACAAATTCTTTTTTTTTTTTTTTTTTTAAGATTTTGTTTATTCATTTGAAAGAGAGAGAGCGAGGAGACAGAGAGCAAGCAGAAGCAGGGGGAATGGCAGGCAGGGGAGAAGCAGGCTCCTTGTTGAGCAGAGAGCCCGACATGGGACTTGATCCCAGGACCCTGAGATCATGACCCGAGCTGAAGGCAGCTAGCTGCCCAACCGACTGAGCCACCCAGGCGTCCGGGAAACAAATTCTAGCTAAAGAAGAATGCAAACCCCTGGTTGATGCCTGAACTTCACATGTGTGGGTCTGTCTCAAAGCTGCCCAGCTAAAACTAAAAGAACTGAACAGAAACTTTAGCTGCTACATACTACAGGAGAATATTTATTCAGAGGAACAGAACCAAATCCAGAGTATCTACAACATAATAGCAAAGTACAGGATAAAACTCTAAAACTACTACACACACAAAGAAACAAAAAGTAATTCCTCAGAGACAAGACAATCAATAGACTTAATCACAAGATGATGAAAATGGGAGATAAATCATAAGAGACTTTTTTTTTAACCATAAGAGACTCTTAATCTCAGGAAACAAACTGAGGGTTGCTGGAGGGGAGGGGGGCAGGGGGATAGGGTGGCTGGGTGATAGACAGTGGGGAGGGTGTGTGTTATGGTGAGCGCTGTGTATTGTGTAAGACTGATATATCACAGACTTGTACCCCTTAAACAATAATACATTATATGTTAATAAAAAAAAAGTGACGAAGATATTCGAATTCGCAGAATTTTTTTTTAAGATTTTATTTATTTATTTGACAGAGAGAGAGAGACAGCAAAAGAGGGAACACAAGCAGGGGGAGTGGGAGAGGGAGAAGCAGGCTTCCCGCCGAGCAGGGAGCCCGATGCAGGGCTCAATCCCAACACCCTGGGATCATGGCCTGAGCCGAAGGCAGACGCTTAATGACTGAGTCACCCAGGCGACCCGGAATTAGCAGAATTTTAAAACAGCTAGTAAAACTATGCTTAAAGAAAACATGCTCATAATGAACAAATAAGAAAGCCCAGCAGAAAAACAGAAGCCATAAAAAGAAGCAAACAGAAGTTATAAAACTAAAAACCATAATATCAGAATAAAAATTTTACTAGATGGGCCTCATAGAAGAATGGAGGTGGCAGAAAAAAAGTGGCAGTAAATTTGACGATTAATCAATACAAATGATCAAATCAAAAGTACAAACAGAAAAGTTAGGGGGGAGGAGAACAGCATGCCTCAGCGACATGGGAAACAATGTAAAATGTCTAACATAATTAAATTCCCAAGAGGGAAAGAGAAAATGGGCATAAAATAAATTTGAAAAAATAAGTTTAAAAGTGTCCCTCATTGGAGGAATGACATATATTTATGTAGATATCCAACAACCAGAAGGAGGACAGATGTGAAGAAAAATAACACCTAGGCATATCACAGGCAATTACTGAAAACTAAAGTTAGGGACGCCTTGGTGGCTCAGCTGGTTAACACCTGCCTTCGGCTCACGTCATGATCCCAGGGTCCTGGGATTGAGCCCCGCATCGGGCTCCCTGCTCAGTGGGATGACCACTTCTTCCTCTACCTCTCCCCCCCTGCTTGTGCTCTGTCTCTCATGCTGTCTCAAATAAATAAAATCTTTAAAAAAAATGAAAGAAAAGAAAACTAAAGTTAAAGAGAATATCTTGAAGGTATTGGGAAAATAATGACATACTACACAGAAGGCAAAAAAAAAAAAAAAAAGGTGACTTATAATCAGAAATACCAGGGTCCAAAAGAAAATGGAATGACATCTTTAAAGTACTGATACAGGGGCGCCTGGCTGGTTCAGTTGGTAGAGCATGCGACTTTTGATCTCTGGGTGGTGAGTTCAAACCCCATGCTGGGTGTGGAGCCTACTTACAAAAAGAAGTACTGATGGAAAAACTGAGAACCCAGATTTCTATGCTAAGGGAAAAGACTCTTTGAGAATGAAGTAAAAATAAAGACATTTTCAAGTAAACGAAACCTAATATAATCCACTGCCAGCAGACTAACTCTATAAAAATTGTTAATGAAATTCTTCAGGCTGAAGAGAAACAAAATCAAAGAAAAAGTCACATCTTCAGGAAGGAATGAAGTATATTAGAAATTATAAGTATATAGGTAAACATAAAAGTCAACTTTTTATTCTCCTAATTTCTTTCAAACATACATGGCTGGCTAAAGCAAAAAAGCAGAGCATTATATTGGGGAGTTTATAATGTGTAAATGTAAAACATTTGAAAACTAAAGCATACGAGAGAGGGATGGTAAATGGACTGATATCTTCGCAAGGTTCTTAGATTCTCTATAAATTAGTATAATACTAACACTATGAAAAACTGGGGTGCCTGGATGGCTCAGGTGGTTGGGCTTCTACCTTTGGCTTGGGTCATGATTTTGGGGGCTTGGGATCGAGGGCTCCCTGCTCAGCAGGGAGTCTGCTTCTACCTCTGCCTCCCACCCCCCCACTTGTGCTTGCTCTCTCTCTCTCAAATAAAGAAAATCTTAAAAAAATATACACTATGAAGAACTAAGAATGCATATTATTTCTAAAGAAACTACTAAAATCTATGTCCTAATCCATTTCAAATGGCCTGGAAACCACCCACTAACATCCTTCATAAACGCAGACATGAAAGTCCATAACAATATATGAGCAAATCAAATCCAGAACTACAAAAAGACATAACACATCATGACCATATTATCTTAAGAATGCAAGACTGAGGGGCGCCTGGGTGGCTCAGTCGTTAAGTGCTGCCTTCGGCTCAGGCCATGATCCCAGGGTTCTGGGATCGAGCCCCGCATCGGGCTCCCTGCTCGGCGGGAAGCCTGCTTCTCCCTCTCCCACTCACCCTGCTTGTGTTCCCTCTCTCGCTGTGTTTATATCTGTTAAATAAATAAATAAAATCTTAAAAAAAAAAAGAATGCAAGACTGATCTGATATTAAAAAAACAACTAACATCATTCGCCATATTAATAGAATTAAAAGGATAAACCATATGATTGCCTCAAAAGATTGAAAGTATCTGACAAAACTTAACACTATTCACAATAAAAACACAGCTGATGAAGAGCATCTGTGAAAATATAAGGCTAATATCACACTTAATGGTAAAAGAATGCCTACTTTAGCCCCAAATTCAGAAACAAGGCAGAGATGTTCACTCTTAACTCCCATTCAACAGTGTACGGAAGATACACTGGCACTATCACAAGAAACCACCTTTTATAGAACTGTGACATGATTTATGAACAAAATGAAAACTTACAAGCGAAGGAGTACTGAAATTAATTTCTTCAAAGCAGCCATCAAACATTAAACTAAATGTTGGATCTATAGGAAAAAAAGCATTTTAAAAAACCATTAAGACTACTAAATTAATTTTTCCAGTTACTTTTTCTATGAAAATATTCTATATTTCAGTGGTAATGAAAATATCATTTAAATTACAAATCACTAAGGAACTGAATTTGTCTTGACCTAAAGTAACTTTTGATCTTTTAATTAAACTATCATGTAACCTTGACTGATGATTTATTTCAATATTTTTAGAGTATAATCATTAACAGTCAAATGAGCTGTTAATTGTGAGTCTAATATACTTTTTCCTATAGAAATCCATAGCAGAGATATGCTACTGAATATGTGCAATGAAAAATATTAGAAAACAATGTTATAATTCAGTGTTTATAATGAAAAAAACAAAACAAAACTATGTGACTCTTAAAATTGAACACCGAATGCAAATTATTAGGAAGGTGGACCAATTCCAGGGTCCATCGGTAGAGTGTGTGACTCTTGATCTCAGGGTTGTGGGTTCAAGCCCACACTGGGTGTACAGATTACTTAAAAATAAAATCTTAAGAAAAAAAAAAGGAAGGTGGACCAATTCCATTAGGCTGGCTATGGCTTACTTTAAAATATGCAATAATCCACATGGAAGTGTTCTCAGGGGATAAGGAATGGCTAAGTTCAATATTAAGGCCCTCCAGAAAGGTTGAGCTCCATAAAAATTTCTGACAAGTAATATTTGGTGATCTAATTATAAGTATGAGGAAGAAGCAAAGAGAAGGCTCTGTTACCGCCCCTACCAAAACCCCTTTCCTGGATAGTTCCTAAGTCTCTTTCCCTGCATTCTAGGCTGTTGTAAGCATCCTAAGTATCTGATAATACTCAACACAATGATTCAAAGTAGTATCCAATATCCACACCACAGCTATTCGCAGGGTAATATAGTAATTTTATAATTACTCAAGGTTGTGAATCGATAGCAAATTTAAATAATTCATTTAAAAATGATCTAGGAGCCTCCAAATTTTAGAAAAAAAGACTTAATACTACAGACTTTTAAAGGAACGTTTCTAACTAAAATGAGAAGCTTTCTCAAAATATTTTAACCAAAAGTAATTAGTTGTAATATCACTGTTACTTACCACTAGTAGTAAGGATCACAGGTCTTTTAGTTGTTGCCATGAATGTTTTGACTGCATTCAAAAACCCAGCATCTTCTTCAAAAATAACATCAACCTAAGAGCCATTTATGAGAATAATACTGTATTGAGTAACAAAACATTTACTGGATAGGTTCTGTATATACACTAGATACACTATATGTCTGTTAGAGACAAAATTTATGAATTTATGAAAAAAAAATTTTTAAAGATTTTATTTATTTGACAGAGCGAGACACCGAGAGAGGGAACACAAGCAGGGAGAGTGGGAGAGGGAGAAGCAGGCTTCCCGCTGAGCAGGGAGCCCGATGCAGGGCTCGATCCCAGGACCCTGGGATCACGACCTGAGCTGAAGGCAGACGCTTAAACGACTGAGCCACCCAGGCGTCCCAATTTTTTTACTTTTAATAGTGTAAAACATTTTAGGCTTTCAGTGTGGGCTGAATTCATACTTTTCATAAATTTCATAAATTCCGGGGTGCTCCCCACTCATGCATACACACACACACACACACACACATGCTCTTTCTCTAAATAAAATCTTTTAAAAATTTTTTAAAAACTCAGATACAAGCATTCTTTTTTTTTTTTTTTTAAGATATTTATTCATTCATGAGAGACAGGGGGGGAGAGAGAGAGAGAGAGAGAGAGAAGCAGAGGGAGAAGCAGGCTCCCACAGGGAGCCAGATGTGGGACTCGATCCCAGGACCCTGGGATCATGACCTGAGCCGAAGGCAGACGCTTAACCATCTGAGCCACCCAGGCGCCCCAGATACAAGTATTCCTGACTTTCTTGGCTATTTTATTTTATTTTATTTTTTTAAGGATTTTATTTATTTACTTGAGAGAATGAGAGAGAGAGAGCACGTGAGAGGGGGGAGGGTCTGAGGGAGAAGCAGACTCCCTGCCGAGCAGGGAGCCCAAGGCGGGACTCGATCCCGGGACTCCAGGATCATGACCTGAGCTGAAGACAGTCGCTTAACCAACTGAGCCACCCAGGCGCCCTCTTGGCTATTTTAGAATACTTTATAGTAACACATACAGAAACCTTTTGAATAAGTTCTTATTATGAGTTAACATGAACATATGCCCATAAGCCTACCTCCTCAAAAAGAATGAGAGATGTTGCATTTTTCCTGTTGGGTTCCTCAGCTCCAAATCCTTTGACATTTGACTTAGTTGTGTTTGTAGATTTAGTCTGAATAATTGGTTTTTGTTCACAAGAGTTTTTTATTCCTGCATAAATAAAATATTAGTATTTTAGATAAAATCAACTTTTAATAGAACACTGGATGTTTCTGCAGGATAAACTCAAACGGAAACCCTCTATCAAAACTAAACAAGAGGTGGGGGAAAAAACTGAAACAAAATATCAAAACTCCTCTATGTAGGACCTTCAGTGTAGCTGAGGTTTAATAAAGGGCAATAGAAACTGAGGAAATATGATCATATTTTTATGTATCAGGGTCATTAGTATTAAAAACTGTCACATATATTTTGTCCGTTTAATGTCTTACCTTTATTATTTTCCGGAAGTACTACTTCTTCATTATTTTTTGGCTTGGAAGACACTTTAAAATAATTTGCCAAAGTTTTAGGTGGAAGTGTTCGCTTTGGTACGCTAGTTTGTGGTGACGGTGGAGGAAGTTTCCTTGGTGATGTAACAACTTTCTTAGGGGAGCTTAATTTTTCTGCCAAAAACAAATTTACTTAACGATAAGTATTCTAAAAGTTAAATGGATGGTAAGATTGAGTTCTCCACAGTCTACATTTCTACTCTTACCAGTTAAAAACTGATATAGAAATTTTCTTTCATTCTTACATTCAAATACTGTGTACAAATAGTACTGTATTATTACAGTTATTCATTCTATCATCAGAGAAGGTAAAACCAGTCATTTGAAAAAGATATTCTTTTCCAATGAAACATACATCCTTGAGGCAAAGAATGTTCAGAATCCCTCCATTCACTTTCTCTCCATCTGCTTGAGTTCAGAAGAGATTGGAGGAAAAGTGATAATGGTACATACTGAGCACATTATGGAACACTGTTATCCAACTTCAGTTTAGCCCTGTAGTAAATGGAAACTGCAAGCAGAAAATATATTTTTCTAGAGATGCTGTGGAGGATGGATACAAAGTTTAAAAACAAATGGTTGATCTCTAACCTCCAGAAGTCCTATGGGCCAAGCATTTATTCCAGAGCATGTCCTTTTCTCCCCTGTAAGTGCTCTGATCCAGTCCTCAGATGTCTAAATTATTTTTTTTCATACCCCGTTTTGACAGATCTTATCATATCCTTTGCATATTATAGGTGTTTGAAAACTTACTGAAAACTTTCAATTTGCCATTTGCAACGACATGGACAGAGCTATTATGCTAAGTGAAATAAGTCAGAGAAACACAGATACCATATGATCTCACTCGTGGAATTTAAGAAACAAAACAGATGAACTATATGAGAAGGGGGAAAAGAAAAAAAGGGGAAGGAAACAAGCCATAGGAGACTCTTAACGATAGCAAACTGAGGGTTGCTGGAGGGATGTGGCGGGGAATGGGCTTGATGGGTGATGGGGAGTAAGGAGGACACCTGAGACGAGCACGGGGTGTTGTATGTAAGTGATGAATCACTGAATTCTACTCCAGAAACCAATAGTGCACTGTTATGTTAACTACCTAAAATTTAAATGAAAAAAAAAAAAAAAGAAAATTTTGATTTGGAAAAATTATCCTAGACATCACTATTATCTCATAAAAGTAGGGATTTTAACACAAGGTAAGAAGCACAAAATCTTAAAAAATATTTCTTTATATTGAATAGATTTCAATTTATAAAAAACTCAACATTTTGTCCTTATTTTTCTAATTTTGACATAGTACAAGGATTGCTTGATCATGGATTGGCATCAGCCCAAAGACTGGTTTTAGAAAATACGTGCCAATTTTTACTTTCGATACTTAGTTAAGTACTTGGCTAAATTTTATCGATATATTCTTTTTAAAGGATTTTCCACAAAAGCAATCAGCTCCATGGAGAGAGAGCTACCTTCTAGGTCTGAGACATCGTAACAAGCCAGAAAGCAAAAACATGTATCAAAGATCACTGTGGCTACATCAAAAGGACACAAGCCAATTTAGTCGGGTTCCCACTAGTCAAAGAGCAGACGATATGAGCACAAAAAGAAAAAAGGGTTCTGCTTCTGGCCAAGACATACACTGGATTTACCCATATATCTGAAATAACACCAAAAAACTAAACATAATAGATGAAACAATGCTTTCAAGACTTCGGACACCATGCAAAAAAGAAGAGTGATAGAGAGACAAGAAACAAACAAGGTGAACCCCAGGAATTGCCTAGCTTCCTGCCTTGTGAGAGAATGTCTAGGCCACAGTGAGGAAGGGGAAGCCAGTCCAGAGGTTTCCTGAGCTGAGGAGACTGAAGAGGAGCCTGGAGATGCCAAGGCAGATAGCATTCATGGGGCAGAATAGTGAAGAGAAGAGAGCTCCATGGAGTGCTCCAGAAATCTACAGAGGGTCCCTCTCAAGTCTTCAACTGAGTAGTGATCAGTAAAAGATTAGGAAAAATAATCCCCGAGGCTCACAGAGAGCTGGGAATAGTTCCTCTTCCACTAGACAGAACAGCAGACTTCAGAATTCATGGGGCATTGGATAGAGTACTTAGAAGGATTTTGCCTAAGTAACAGGGCAAAATTATTAGTCCTAAACTAGATGCTTCTATGGCCTCGCCTAATACAGCATAAAAGTTCCAAAACAATCAAACTTACAGAAAAAATTGGGCATGGTAACACAAAAGATATAAAAAGGACCCAAGTCCAGCTTCTAGAAATGAAAATTACAATGTGTGAAATACAAAATACATTGGATGGCACGGACAGCATACTGCGTATTGCAGAAAATAAGATTTGTGAATTTGAGTAGTTAGAAACTATCCAAGATGAAACACAGAGAGGAACAAGAAGATTGCAAACCTGAACAATCAATCATCAAGCTGAGACAACTTAGCAGCATTATCCACAACAGAATGTGGTATGGAAACAACCTGAGTGCCCATTCATGAATGGATCCAGGTGTAGTATCTATACACAATGGAATACTACTCAGCCCTAAGAAAGGACATCCTGCCATTTGTAACAGCATGGATTGACCCGGAGCGCATTAGACTAAGTGAGGTAAGTCAGAGAAAATCAAGTACTGTATAACATTACTTATACGTGGAATCTAAAAGAGCCAAACTCATAAAAACAGCGAGTAGAATGGTAGTTACCAGAGGATGGGGTTGGGGGGTAGGACAGATGTTGTTTAAGGGTACAGACTTGCAATGAGAAGTAAATCCTGGAGACCTAATACATACTATAGTAAATACAGACAATATTCTCTTGTAATCACCAAACTTCCTGAGACTATACCTTAATTATTCCAACCACTAAAAATAAATAATTATGTAATGTGATAGAGGTGCTAATATAAACACAATTGCAAACATATTACAATACATAAATCTATAAAATTAACATTTATAACTATATACAATGTTAAGGTCAAATATATTTTAGTTAAGAGGAAAAAAAAACTGGGGCGCCTGGGGGGCTCAGTCATTAAGCGTCTGCCTTCGGCTCAGGTCATGATCCCAGGGTCCTGGGATCGAGCCCCGCATTGGGCTCCCTGCTCGGCGGGAGGCCTGCTTCTCCCTCTCCCGCTCCCCCTGCTTGTGTTCCCTCTCTCACTGTCTCTCTGTGTCAAATAAATAAATAAAATCTTAAAAAAAAAAAAAAAAGAAAAAACTGCTTGGAATTTTCCAAATTTGATGAAAATATAAACCCATTTGTACGAGAAGCTCAACAAACCCAACCACATGAAACATGAAGAAAACTACACCAACGCACATCAAAGTCACAGTTGCTCACAACTAATGACAAAGAGAAAATCTTAAAAGCAGCAAAGAATAATGAACACAAGGGACTGAAACACATATATACACAAATCCATGAGTTCATCGTAATACTAAAAAAAAAGTAAACTACCCCAAAACTCATTGGACAACCTCAGAGATTACTAGGGCACCATTACTCTATGAACTGAAAAATAAATAGAAAGAATGAAGCATTTCTCGTGCCTTTCCTGTACAAACTGTATGTCAAAGTATCCAGACACTTGATGAGGAGAACTGCTTGTGAGAATTTTAACTAATAAATTCAGAAAGGCTAAGTGAATTACAAAATCCCCATTTTTTTAACCCTTAATGAAACAATCTACTAGATAAAGATCATTCATGGCTACAAAATACTGTTAGTTCAAAGAGTGATGGGGGAACTTTATAATGGATGGATCAGCCTGGAAACAACTGAACTCACCAATCCATGTTAATATCATAAACGTATCTTCGGCTCTGACGCCATACAAAGTGCACAGCCTTGCCTATGCATGTATGACAGCCCCGAAACAGAACGTGAATCTAACTGCCCGTTTACAAGTAAATAGGGAAGAGGAATATATTAACTGATACCATAAAGATACAATCAGCCAAATCCAAAATGTGAGAAATTTTATGAAAAATGACCCAAACAAATGGGTCAACAAATAAATGATATGAAAAGGATGAGGGAATTATTAGGGAGACTGAAAGAAATTCAAAAGACATTAATCAAATGTAAAATGTAAACCTTGTTTGGATCCGAATTTGCACAAAGCATTTGAAACAACAGAAAGCCAAAAGAGGAGTATGTATTAGATGAAATTAAGGTTAATTTCATTAGGCATAATTATGATACTGTGGTTATGCTTTTTAAAAAGTCCTTATCCGGGGTCGCCTGGGTGGCTCAGTCTTGGTTAAGCGTATGCCTTTGGCTCAGGTCATGATCCCAGGGTCCTGGGATAGAGCCCCGCATCGGGGTCCCCGCTCAGCTGAGGAGTATGCTTCTCCCTCTCCCTCTCCTCGTGTGCTCTCTCACTCACTCTCTCTCAAATAAATCTTTTTTTTTTTTTAAAGATTTTATTTATTTATTTGACAGAGAGAGACACAGCGAGAGAGGGAACACAAGCAGGGGGAGTGGGAGAGGGAGAAGCAGGCTTCCCGCCGAGCAGGGAGCCCGATGTGGGACTCGATCCCAGGACCCCGGGATCATGACCTGAGCTGAAGGCAGACGCTTAATGACTGAGCCACCCAGGTGCCTAATAAATAAAATCTTTAAAAAAAACTAAAAAAGTCCTTATCAAGAGTGCCCGGCTAGCTCAGTCAGAGGAGTGTGTGACTTCTGATCATGGAGTTGTGAGTTTGAGCCCCATGTTCAGTGTAGCGACTACTTAAAAATAAAATCTTAATAAATACACGAATAAGTAAATAAATAAGGTCCTTATCAGTTAGAGATACCTATGAAGTACATATGGGTAAAATTATATGATGGTCCTGAGATTTGTTTTAAAACTGTACAGGAAAAAATTAAAAAGGCGTGTGTGTGTATAGGAAAAGATAAAAAAAATGAATGGCAAAATGCTGATTATTATAATTCTTTTTGTAGATTTTTTTTTTCAATGATGTTATGACCTAAGGAAAATAATTTACTTACTTGGTGACTTGCCTAGGTTGTAACTATTAAAAAAACAAGGTTTTTGAGAGTTTACACCTTGCTTGTCCACTTGATGGGACTGAGTAGCTTCCTTCAGTTGAGATAGAATTTGTCTACCACTGCGCTGAGAAGACGCATTGACTTCAAATATCTAAAAGAAGAATATATGAAAGCAAGGCAGAACGGTTGGTTTTCCTTTAATTCAAGTGTTAATTACTACATTAACATTCTCCCACTGTAGCTCTTACTAACCTTGAATCCAAGTTCCTGAGCACAAGCATACACTGCCGCCGTTTTTCCCACTCCTGTTGGCCCTGTTATAAGAACAGTATTGCAAAGGCGAGTCTCTTCTTCATCATCTGAACTGCCTTTAAAATCTATGCTGTCCGACAGACCTGAAAAATTATTCAAATGCACATTACCATTTGCTAATTGCTCAGGCAGCAATTCTACCTCACGAAACCCAATGATCAACCCTTACAAACCTCTTGCCAGTAAATGCTGGAAATTTAATTTACAAAAACTAGAAAATCAAATGTAAAATACCAGTTAAGAAATTTTATATAGGGGTGCCTGGGTGGCTCAGTCATTAAGCGTCTGCCTTCAGCTCAGGTCATGATCCCAGGGTCCTGGGATCGAGCCCCGCCATCGGGCTCCCTGCTTGGCGGGAAGCCTGCTTCTCCTTCTCCCACTCCCCCTGCTTGTGTTCCCTCTCTCACTGTGTCTCTCTCTGTCAAATAAATAAAATATTTAAAATAAAAAAAAAAGAAATATTATATAAATATTTAGCTAATCTAACTCAAAATGTCCAGTGAAATGGAGAAAATAACTCAAAATACCTTCCTGTTTCTCATCTTTTTTTCCCTTCAAGTTTTGTCTTTCTTCCAATTCAGCTCTCCTCTTCCAGTCTTTCAACCAACTGCCATAAGAAAATGTATGTTAATGAAAATAATTCACAGAATAGAGATATATCGCTTTGAATCAACTAAATAGTAAAATATATTTACATGGGCATGAATATTTTTAAATGAAGTAACTTTTACCAAAATACACAAGAGCAACGTTATTCACTGCAACACTGTTCATATTAGCTTCCAAATGGAAAAACCTAGAAGTACCTCAGTAGGAGAAAAGATACACACAGTACAGTGACCTAAGAAACCAGTACGAAGCAACTACAAAGAACTGAGGAGGGGCCCCTGCGTGGCTCAGTCGTTAAACAACTGCCTTCAGCTCAGGTCATGATCCCAGGGTCCTGGGATCGAGCCCCACATCGGGCTCCCTGCTCAGCAGGAAGCCTGCTTCTCCCTCTCCCACTCCCCCTGCTTGTGTTCCCTCTCTCGCTGTGTCTCTCTCTCTATTAAATAAAATCTTAAAAAAAAAGAACCAAGGAGACCCCATGATGAAAGATGTCTAATACACAGTGCTAAGTGTAAGTAGAAAGATGAAGTCCTAGTTTGGAGCTAGAATGCCCAAGCTTGAGTTCTAGCTCCCCGACTTTAGAGCTGTGTGACTCTGGACAAATAATTCAACCTCTGTAGGCCCATTCCTCATCTGTAAGATAAGGACAACAGTATATTATAGTTTTGAGGATTAAATGAGCTAAGAACAATGCAAGTACTTAGAACAGTGCTAGGCTCAAAGTGTTAACTATTATCATGGGTCCCTATTTCTTATATGAAATCCTTTGGACCAGATGAGTTTAGAATTCAAAAATTTTCAGATATTAGAAAAGTAATTTGGTACATATACCACATATAACACAACACCTCTAATGGGGTCTGTGGCGTTACATCCACAATCACTTAATATTTCTATTTTTAAAAAATGTATGTACTCCTACTAAGTGGGACCCATAAATTCATAATATATAATAAAGTTAATAACTTTCGGTTTTCAGAACTTCTTGGATGTGGGAATCATAGACAAGGGATTATGGACCTGAATTAGTAGTAATATGATCCTATTTGTTAGGCAGAAAGGAGCTAATATATGTATAAAATTTTTTCTGTAAGGTTTTACAAGAAACCTTTAATAGTTGTTACCTCTGGAAAGTAGAAATGGGAGAAAAGAGGGATATTTACTTTTCACATTTTTCTTTTTTTAAGATTTTACCATGTATTACTTTATAATTTCTAGATTTTAGTATAAATAAAACAAAGCAGTAAAACTAGATCCATAAACAATTTCTCAATTTTTTTACAAGTTTTACCAACCTATGTAACTTTTTTATAGCTAGCTCATTGCCTATGAGTTCACTGGAGTTCTGAGGTTGATACTTTTCTGTCCAAAGCATGTCTTCAGTTCCAGAATCTAAAGCAAAAAATTTATATTAAAACATTTGTCCTTGACATAAGAATATATTCTGAGACATGTGCAGTATTGTTCCATGTAAACAATGAGTATTTATACAAGTATTTATATCTACAAAATGCCAAAGGGTCAATTTCAAAACTTTACATTTAAAATTCTTTTTAATTTTTAGTATTTTTAATTGAGAGAGGGAGCCGGGGGAGGGAGAGCATGAGTGGGGGGAGGGGAGACTCCCTGCTGACTGGGGAGCCCAACCCTGTACTTGATCCCAGGACCCTAACTGAGATCATGACCTGAGCTGAAGTCAGACGCTTAACTGCCTGAGCCACCCAGGTGGCCCACATTTAATATTTTTCATATCAAAAACCTTTCCCCTTAAAAGCTAACCACCACTGCAGTGCCTGGGTGACTTAGGTAAGCGTCCAATTCTTGATCTCAGGTCAGGTCTTGATCTCAGGGTTTTGAGTTCAACTTGTTGGGCTCCACGCTGGGCATGGAGCCTACTTTAAAAAGGGTGGGGAGGGGTGCCTGGGTGGCTCAGTCGTTAAGCGTCTGCCTTCGGCTTGGGTCATGATCCCGGGGCCCTGGCATTGGGCCCCACGTCGGGCTCCCTGCTCTGCAGGAAGCCTTCGTCTGCCTCTCCCATTCTTCCTGCTTGTGTTCCCTCTCTCGCTGTGTCTCTCTCTGTCAAATAAATAAATAAAATCTAAGGGGAAAATAAATTAATTAATTAAAAAAAGGGGGGCGCCTGGGTGGCTCAGTTGGTTAAGCATCCAACTCTTGATTTTGGCTCAGGTCATGATATCAGGGTCATGAACTCAGGGTAGCAAGATCAAGCCCCATGTCTGGCTCCACACTTAGAGGAGTCTGCTCCTCTCCCTCTCCTTCTGTCACCCCCACCCCCGCACCCCGGCATGCTTTCTCTCTCAAATAAATAAATAAATCTTAAAAAATAAATAAATAAATAAAAGGCTAGCCACCATAAAGTCTCATGACAGTAAGGTTTAAAAATACACATTTAGGGACGCCTGGTGGCTCAGTCGGTGTCTCCCTTCGGCTCAGGTCATGATCCCAGGGTCTTGGGATCGAGCCTGGCATCAGGCTCCCTGCTCAGCGGGGAGCCTGCTTCTCTCTCTGCCTGCTGCTCCCCCTGCTCGTGCTCTCGAGCACACGCACTCTCTCTGTGACAAATAAGTAGATAAATAAATAAATATCTTAAAAAAAAAAAAGTACACATTTAGAGGTGCTTGGCTGGCTCAATTGGTACAGCATGCGACTCCTGATCTTGGGGTCGTGAGTTCAAACTCCCCATTGGGGTAGAGATTACTTAAAAAAAATTTAAGTATATTAAAAAATAAATAAAAGTACACATTTAAAATTTTAATAATCACTAAAAAAATATGAAAAATGATTTATACTGTAAGAAATAATCTAAAGAGCAAAGGCAGCATAATTTTAGTGCAACTTCCTTCAACCCCCTGAAATAAAACATTAAACTGTCCTATTAAGTCAGCCTGGGTAAACAGACATATGCTACACTCCCATTTGAGAAGGCTGAATGTTGTAAAGATGCCAGTTCACTCCAAATTAATCTATACATTAATGCAAAATCAAAACCCCAATGGGATTTGTGGTAGGAGGATCTACAGTTCATTCAGCAGTGTAGCTACATGAACATAGTTTAAAAAAACAATAGAAGACTTGCTGTACAAGTGTCAAAACATACTCTAAAGCTATGAATTAATTAATTCAACAGAATACTTTGAAAAAGCTAGATAACCCAAATAGGAACATGTCAGAGACATGTGAAACAGATATAAAATAAATTGTATAATTCCAGGTTTTTACAAAAGCACACGTATTTACAGAAGCACAGTAAAATCAAAGACCAAACACCAATCTGTTAAATGTGGTATTCTTTAAGGCTGTAATTAGTAAGGCTTCCACTTGTTTTACACACATATATTGCTTGAATGTTGCGGTGAACATATATTAAAGAGAAGAGAAAATGAGAGGTTAAATAAACAAAAGTGTTCTAGGACCAGAAGAAGAAGATCTAATTTACCAGGAACAGGAGATCTTTCTGAGGGAGACTCTTTGCCATCATCTATTATGAGAACATCAGGATCTTCAACTGCTTCTGTTTCTACTTTACATGTTGTACTCAAGGCAGTTTGTTTCTTCCTGGATGTTTTAGAAAGAAGGCCTTTACAAGAGTCTAGCTTTATCCCAGTGGAGTTGTTTCTTTTGTCAAGCTCTTCTGGTTTCCCATTTATCTTTTTTGGACTTTGTGAATACTCATTTGGTTTCTTTCTTTTTGACTTATGAATTTCCGTTTCCACTCGTTTCCTTTTGCTTTCTTTTTGGTTGACACTGGGCTCTCGTTGTGGACTTTCTATTTCAGAAATTACAGAAATGCATGTGCTTACTAATCAACGAAAACCAAATTTTAATATCCGACCACATTAAGGTCACTTCAAAATATCCAATAGTCTTATTACTACAAAATGAAGAAGAATCAAATGTGGCACACTGAAAGCAAGCAGGCTACCTTGTTATTTAGATTGCCTTTTATACAAGCTATGTAAATTCAAATGATCTCATCTAAGGCTTTCCTTAAATGAACTATTAATATTTTAACATAATTAAAGCTGTCTTTGGGCTCGCATCTGTGGAAAACGGCAGGGGCCAACACTGCACTGAACAAGATGCTTTACTTCAGTTGAACAATTTTCCCTGCCAACCATAAGCAATATTCTCTGTGGACTTGCAAGAGTCAATGACCAAGACTTAATGCTTTCAAAAGCAAAATGTTAATGTAAATGATAATACTTATCACTAACCTTGTTTATGATGACACTCAGAAAGCACCTGGTGCTCACTTCGTTTTTTTAGAAGCAAAGAAAAATATTTCCTCAAAGAAAATTCAGGATTTGACCACCTAATTTCCTCCAGCAAAAGATTTCTTACTTCTTCAGTCAAATCTTTCCTTCTTTCCACAAACTGCAATAAAGAATAAAATGCTCAGTAACAGACATTGTCTATTTTTTTAAAGATTTTTATTTTTTTTAAAGTAATCTCAGGCGCCTGGGTGGCTCAGTCAGTTAAGTGTCTGCCTTCAGCTCAGGTCAAGATCTCAGGGTCCTGGGATCGAGTCCTGCATCGGGCTCCCTGCTCAGCGGGAAGCCTGCTTCTCCCTCTCCCACTTCCCCTGCTTCTGTTCTGTCTCTTGTGTCTCTCTCTGTCAAATAAATAAAATCGTTAAAAAAAAAAAAAAACGATCTCAGGGTCCTGGAATTGAGCCTGGCATCGGGCTCCCTGCTCAGGGGAGGCGTCTGCTTCTCCCGCTGCCCCTCCCCTCACTTGCTCTCTGTCTCTGTCTCAAATAAATAAAATATTAATAAGTAAATAAACAATGAAGTAATCTCTGCACCCAATATGGGGCTCAAACTCACAACCCTGAGATCAAGAGTCTCTTGCTCCACTGACTGAGCCAGCTAGGTGCCCCCTACACTGTCTATTAATATTAGTCACAACTACTTTCTGTCTATAATAAGTCAGTATTAATGCAAGAGAAGCTTTAATGACTGAATACAACCTTGACAATGAAGCTGCATTTGCATACTTTTGAAGGACTTAGTTCATATTTTTTTTTTGTTCCATCTTTCAACTTACACATTTATTACATTAGAATGCTGACTTATACAATATCTAAATGTGCTATATAATCTAGTGTTCTTTTGAAATTGGCTACCATTAATTTTTTTGGGGGGGGCTACCATTAATTCTTAAAGCGTTTCTAAAGCTCTAGGAATATTTAAAAGAGATGTCTACCCCAATTGGGATTTATTTTTTAAAACTGGATTCTAGGGAAAAAAATGAACTTCAGACCACAACAGATTTCCATATTTTTTTCCCTTTGAAAGAGGTGAAGGAAACACCCTGCAATGGATGAGCTCTACAGTACTTACCCCAACAGCAGACTTAGTACTTTTAGAATTTGAATTCAATGTTGAAAATTCACCAAGAGCAAGAACACATTTTGAGAGATCTAGTACTTTAGTATTCAGTTCTTTAAGTTTGGTTAAGAGAGAGCAAGTAGGTGGTTTCAAATGCCACAAATGGGATCCTAAAGAAAAACAGAAAACAAGTATCTTAATTGCGTTCACATACATCAAATGCCAAATATGCAAACATGAAAAGACTTGACAACTACATAGTTAAACACAAAGATCCCAGAACTCAGTGAGCGCACATCAAACCCATTCTTCCTGCAAACAAATACAATAAAAATTACTAAGCCTTCTGTTCCAACTGTTTAAAATAACCAAGCAACAGCAAACTTTTTCTTTTTCTTTCTTTCTTTTTTAAAAGATTTTATTTATTTATTTGACAGAAAGAGAGAGAGCACAAGCAGGGGGAGCAGCAGACTCCCCGCTAAGCAGGGAGCCTGACATGGGGCTCAATCCCAGGACCCTGAGATCACGACCTGAGCCGAAGGCAGTCGCTTAATTGACTGAGCCACCCAGGTGCCCTCTTTTCTTTTTAAATCAGCCTTGCTACTCAGGGTAAAAATTTCAGGGGCAGTTGGCACCCTGCTTTAAAATTTAAACTTTGAAGTCAGACCTGGGTTCAAATCCAGACTGTGCCACTTGCTAGCTAGGTGAGCATGGGCAAGGTCCTAAACCTTAGTTTCTTCTTCTCTACAATGGGGGTGGCAATAGTCAACATCCTAGAGTTGTTATGGAGATTAAATTAGTCACGTATACAGTGCTCAGCAGAATGCCAGATACTAGTAAACCAATGTGCAGTAACTCTTTTAAGGTTCTAAAAGAGATTCTCTCTGTGCTTGCCTCATCTCCTCATCTACAAATACATATGCTAAGTTTTACAGTAGCACTCTGGTGAAAAAGTGTTTATTAATATCAGGGAAGAAAAACAGAACTAATTTCTATAGTTGAATATACTATTAAAAAATGCTGTAGGGGCAGCTGGGTGGCTCAGTCGTTGAGCGTCTGCCTTCGGCTCAGGTCATGATCTCAGGGTCCTGGGATCGAGCCCCGCATCGGGTTCCCTGCTCTGTGGGAGGCCTGCTTCTCCCTCTCCCACTCCCCCTGCTTGTGTTCCCTCTCTTGCTGTGTCTCTGTCAAATAAATAAATAAAAATCTTTAAAAAAAGATGCTGTATAAAACTGAACTGGTGAAAATAACAAGAAAGATTTCATCAACTGACTGGCCAATGGCTGAGCTAGGGAAGAAAGGGAAAGTAAAATATCATTAGAAAGACTGGCTAGGAATTTGCCCGTATAAATGGGAGTATGAGAGGCATCTGGGTGGTTCAGTCGGTTGAGCATCTGATTTCAGCTCAGGTCATGATCTCGGGATCTTGGGATCGAGCCCTGTGTTGGGCCCCCCATTCAGTGGGGAGTCTACTTGTCCCCTCCCCCTGCTCATGCTCTTTCTCTCTCATAAAGAAAGAAAGAAAGAAAGAAAGAAAGAAAGAAAGAAAGCTAAATGGGAGGCTGAAGAAAACTCAAAAACTACCAAGGTCAGGGGCACCTGGGTGGCTCAGTCATTAAGCATCTGCCTTCGGCTTGGGTCATGGTCCCAGGATCCTGGGATCGAGCCCTGCATCGGGCTCCCTGCTTGGTGGGGGGCCTGCTTCTCCCTCTCCCACTCCCCCTGCTTGTGTTCCCTCTCTCGCTGTGTCTCTGTCAAATAAATAAATAAAATCTTCAAAAAAAACAAAAAACTACCAAGGTCAGAAACACAAAATGAAAAGAGAACACAGAATATATTTCGTGAGTAGAGGGAGTGCATTAAACCAAACCACAACGCCAGCTAAGAAGAATACAAGGGCTTTTGTGCTGGCCAAAAAAACAAAACAAAACAAAAACAAAAACAAACACCTCTAGGCAGAGACAATGATGAGAAAGATATAAAGCTTTATACACTTTTGGTAATTAAAAACTAGATAAGTAAAATAAGATTGTGGTTGCTACAGCATTTGAATCCAAATAGAAGCAGGTTCTGATCAAGCTAAGACCACTGTGCAAGCAGCTCACCCTTGTGCACGGTGCATGTGAGGAAAGGGTGAAGTGGAGCATGCAGCACTGCGACTTGTTACCTATTCCAGCAGATATTTATACGGTTTGAGAGAGGAAAAGCTGTTCTGGAAAGGAGGCAAACAGACTGCTCTTGAACATTCAACAGCCCATTGGAAAGAACAGAGCTGGAGCTCCTCTGAGAAAGTCTTAGCGATGATTTGTTCACACACAGGCTACATGTGTGAAGAGCACTGCCTTCCATTTAGAACACAGTGCCTCTCTGGAGAACAACATCCGCTGGGGTCCCACCCACGTGCCTGTTCTCCACCAGCACAAGGGGTCCACAGCGGCTGAGGGCTGAGGATGCTGCTGGCTCTCTTGCCCCGACCCCCCCATCCTCGGGAAAGTGGGTCCAAGAATGAAACACATCCTTCGAATTCCCACTTAAATCCCCTTAAGAATTATCTTTAAACCTTAGCCTCATTTTAAGTCAACTTACGGTTTCACGTTACTTCCAACATTTAAAAATATTTCATTATGACAAACGCACCATCATCTTTTTGTCGTACGTGGACGACTCTCTGGAAACCAGCACTCACTGCACTGTACGCATCTAACGCAGCAGCTTTCTTTGCAATCTGGCGTTTCAGCAAATCCGGCAACCCACTCATTAGAAAGTCACGCTTTGCTTTAAACTGCACATCATAATCCTGAGACTTTTCGGATGTATCTTGACTTTCAAGAAAATGATGTGAAAGAAGAAAGCTAAGGTTATACACACTTAAAAAAAAATAAACTATAAAACACTTCTAATTGAATTTGAAAAAAATCAGCTACCTGAGATGTTAGCTGGTCAAATTCATTTTTTGCTTATCATAAAAACAAGTCTATCAGTTGTAAGAAATTAAGTAAAAATAAGTATATATAGAAAAATCATTTGAAGGACATCCACCAAAGTGTTAACAGAGACTATCTTTGAGTGGTGAGTTTTTGCCCTTATGTCTTTTGTCTTCTTTTTTAAGAAACAGGCATTTATATTATAATCAGAAAACAAAGTAAGTGTTGTATTTCAAAAAGTTAATGCAAGAATTTCTAATGTGATACTGTTTCCCAGATAATAGCAAGAACATTAGGGCCCTTACTACTGATGCCTCAGTTTTACCTGGTTTATCTTCATATTGCTAATCGTAAGAGTCTTGACTTCAGTGGGAGGGAGGTGAGGGGGTAGGGGAGGATGGGATGCTGGAGTAGTGGAGGGGGGAAGAGTGTGGTCTCACAGCTTATTTGCCCTTCCTAGCCTGTCATATAGAGTGAGGATCGTCATATTCTCTACAAACAGAAATTTGGGTTGGTTTAAATTAAAAAGAGGCTACAAAAACTTCCATTTCTTGTTTCCTCTTCTATTTGAGAGAAATGAGGGAAAGATGAGATCTAAAGCCCGAGTGAAGGAATTAATCTTAGAAAAGAGATGGTGTACCTTTTTTACTGTTATTGGAAGGAAGGAGGAAAAGATGGGTGAAGCTGTAGCTAAACGAATATGTGCCTGGGGTGCCCGGCTGGCTCAGTTGGTAGAGCATGCAACTCTTGATCTTGGGGTTGTAAGTTTGAGCCCCATGTTGGCTGTAGAGATTACTTAAAAATAAAATCTTAGAAAAAAAACAGTATGTGCCTATAGCAGAAGGTAAACTTTAGGGTAGTAATGTAAAATATATACATATCATATATATGTTATACAATATGTGTTATATACAATTATAAACAGTTTGGGAGCATGTGTGTGCGCACGTGTGTGTATGTGTGTATTTCCTAGCTTTATCTGCTAAGAAGGCCTAGAAGCATTGATACCTCAGGAGCAATGAGTAAAACAAGTACCTAGATCTTGTTTTCTAAATACCATCCTCCACTAAAAGGAACCAGGGCTCTGTGGAGAAAAGGCTATTTTACAAAGCTGGGACAGAGCAAATCAAAGATGAACCTGGAACATCTTCCTGTTTCATAAAGTAAGGAATGCTGAATAAATGACGGGGATGTGTCAAAGGGGCGCAGAAACCAAGCTGAAAGCCTCCCACTGGCTAAATGAGAAACAATCTGAGTATCAAAATAAAAATTAATGGATTAAAATTCCATAAAAAATAGGAAATAATGAATAAATAGGTAAATGAGATATGTAAAAGCACTTTCTCATAGCAGCCAACAAATAGAAAAAGAACAGATAATCAGCAACAGCTAATCACCATTTGACAATGATCACAGTGTGGTTAATCCAGGTGGAAGCCATCAATGTTAATGCTAATAACTGGAAGTCTGCTGAAGAACAAGATATTGGCATTATCTTTGAATGCCTTCCCCCCAATATGAATCAGTTTCAAAGAGAAAGGGTGAATCTAAGGTGGAGAAATACAGCAGATGTCAACAGTCCAGCTGCTCAAGGTCGGCATCACTAGTGATGAGAGGGGTTAAAGTCACATACACCACTTTATGTGATGTACGGAGAAGAGCAGAGCACCGTTTCTGTGGTAATCCTGACAAGAATGTAGAACCATAGTCTCATAATGGGAAATATCAGACAGACCCAGGTTGAGAGTCATCCTACAACACACACAGTCTGTGCACGTCAATAAAAATGGTCAAGGAAATGGGAAATCTTGCTGAAGGGGATACGGAGTTCTTTGTAGTATTCTGGCAACTTAGTTATTTCAACATAAATTATTTTTTAAATTCTTTCATTGCACACCAATTTAGGAACATAGTAATTCTAAGAAACTTAAGTAGTCCAAAACCAGCAAATTTCTTCCTTCAAACAATTCTATTGGCTAAAGCAAATGCATATAAGATGAAATGGTAGACTGTGGGATCTATAGGTTAAAAAAAAAAAATCAATTGCATTTCTATATACTAGAAATCAACAATTAGAAAATAATACCATTTACAATAATATTAAATACATGAAATACTTAGAGATAAATTTAACACAACATGTATAAAACCTCTACATTGAGAACCACAGAAGTTAAAAACTCAAATAGAAATATATACCATGTTCTTGGATCAGAAGACTTAATATTATTAAGATATCAATTCTCTCACAATTTAATACAATCATTAGCAAAATCCCAGCAGAATTCTACATGAAGTTCCTAACATCTTTATTCGCAATAGCTTAAAACTGGAAACAACCCAAATGTCCACCAACAGGAGAAGAGACAGACAAAGGTGGTGTATCCATACAGTGGAATACTACTCAGCAAAAATATAACAATGAACTACGGATATATAGTTGACCCTTGAACGTGGGAGTTATGGGTGCCGACCCCCTGTGCAGTCAAAGATGCATGTGTAATGTTTGACTCCCCCAAAATTTACCTACTAATAATAGCTTACTGTGGACCAGAAGCCTTCCTGACTCACATTAACCACTGATTAACACATAGTCTATGTTGTGTGTATTATATGCTATATTCTTTACAATAAAGTAAGCTAGAGACAAAAATAGTAAAAAAGTCCTAAGGAAAATACATTTTTACAGCACCATAATGTAAAACATACATGTAAGGGGGCCTGCGCCATTCAAGCCATGTGGTTCGTTCAAGAGTCGACTGTATTTGAGGATGAATAAATCTCAAAATCAGCACGCTGAATGAAAGAGGCCAGGTTAAAAAAAGAGTACGTATGATTTCACTAATAGAGAATTCTAGAAAATGCAAATTAACATAAAGAAAAAGAGATTGGGACTTGTCTGGGCCGGGACTAGAAGGAGGACTGCTGGAGGGCATGAGGAGTCTTTCGGAGGGCAAAGGAAATAAATCCGTATCTGTATGGCGGGGTGGTGCGTTTACTACGTATCCAACTGACAAAGCTCATCAAGCTATGTGCTTTCAATAAAGGTGACCATATGTAAATTATACCTCAATGAGGTTTAAAAATTTAACTAATCGATTAAAAATAATAATAAAAGGTAGGGGCGCCTGGGTGGCTCAGTCGTTAAGCGTCTGCCTTCGGCTCAGGTCATGATCCCAGGGTCCTGGGCCCGAGCCCCACATTGGGTTCCCTCTCTCGCTGTGTCTCTCTCTGTTAAATAAATAAATAAAATCTTTAAAAAAAAAAATAAAAGGTAGGGGCGCCTGGGTGGCTCAGCCATTAAGCGTCCACCTTCGGCTCAGGTCATGATCCCAGGGTCTTGGGATCGGGCCCCGCATCAGGCTTCCTGCTCCGCGGGAAACCTGCTTCTCCCTCTCCCACTCCCCCTGCTTGT